GAAATGCAAACACCACCTAATTTGCTCAAATCTCTTATGGCTCATTAGTTTGCTGAAAATTGGAATTTCTAAAAATGGATCTGTTGACCAGTACTCTTTCAGATTATCCCTCCTTGTATGGCCCATTAGAAAGATTATTGCAAATATATTTCTCATTTCTGCTGGAGTGACATCCACCCACTTCAATGCCTTATAACTTCTGTCATAATGTTCACGATGTTGGAGATAGTATCTGTTAGTTTCCTGACATAGCATGTCAAAGAAACTATCTCCAAAAAACAGTTCCGCTACTTCAGACACTTGCGTTGGGTCCGACAGAATTTGCTTCACCCCTGGATTTCCAGTAAACTGTCCCAAAGCAGGCGTTTTGTCTACTTTTCCCCATGTGGCTGTCCCCACAATGTTGCTACCCGCACATTCGTTGGAGCTACGGTCACTTTCACTGTATATGGTCACAATTTTTTGTTAGCCCCTGCCCCACTATCAGATTGTGAGTCGCTATCACTAGCAGACTCACAAGTAACATCAGATAGCTCATTGGAGAAGAAGTCAGATATTTCTTGTTCTCCAAGAAATCGCTTGGGTGTCAACCGCTTTGGTCTTTGATCCATATTGAACTACTGACTGACAGCTTGCTACATAAAGCTTGAAGAAATAAAGGCATTTATTTTCCTTTGCAGGGACATAGAGTTAGAGCGAGGTCTAGTAACTGATTGGTCAGCAGACATTCCAGAGCCTTATAATGCAGCTGCAAGCAGCTATGTGCTAGCTAGGTGGAGCCAGAGAGATGTATAGTGTGTTGCAACTTATCGTGTTTTAAAAACCTGTTGACACGCGAACGGTCCGCCATGTTTAAAAGCGAAAAACCTTTTAAAGGGTAGACTTGAAAGGATTCTGACGATGGTGTATACTGTACTTCTTTTGGCTTATTTTGGACTTCACCCATCATCCAGTATATAAAAAAGACAAAAACCACAATGTTTCGGAGACTGGATCTGTCTCTGTCTTCAGGTGTATAGGGAAGGTTTAACCTACTCAGTTGGGCCCCTTAGAAAGAGCTAGTCTCAATCACCGGACAAACCTTGATCTGTAGAAACAACCTATGAACAACCGACAACCGGTTCCGTCAGTGGGAGGAAA